TCTGTATGTCCTCTTTGGAGAAGTGTCTATTCAAGGCCCTCTGCCCATTTTTATTTATTTTTTTATAGATTTATTTTTTAATTTTTATTTTTAACACCCCCCTCCCCCGAGGATATTTTCCCATCAGATACAGTGGGAGGGAGGAAGGGAGGAAGAGAGAGAGAGAGAAACATTGATGTGAGAGACACATTGATTGGTTGCCTCCCACATGACCCCAACTGGGGCCAGGATAAACCACAACTGGGGTATGTGCCCTTGGTCAGAATTGAACCCAGGACTCTAGTCCTCAGGTCAATGCTCTAACCCCTGAGCCAAACTGGCCAGGGCACTCTGCTCTTTTTTTTTTTTTTTTCCATTTTTTGTTCAAATAGAGTTGCAGGGAGAGAGAGAGAAAAACATCGACCTGTAAGGGACACATAGAGTGGCTGCCTCCTGCACAACCCCAACCAGGGCCTGGGACAAACTGCAACCGAGATATGTGCCATTAGTGGGAACCAAACCCAGGTCTCTCTGGACCGTGGGCCAATGCTCTAACCGCTGAGCAAAACTGGCCAGTGCCCTCTGCCCATTTTTAAAGTGTGAGTATTTGTTTTCCTGTTGAGTTGTATGAGCTCTTTATGTATCGTGGCTATTAACCCCTTGTCGGAGGTATCATTTGTAAATGTCTTTTCCTATTCAGTTGGTTTTCTTTTTGTTTTTTGGTGGTTTCTTTGGCTGTGCAGCTTTATAGTTTGATGTAGTCCCATTTGCTTATTTTTTCTTTTCCTTCTCTTGCTTTTGAGATCAAATTCACAAAAAGCCTATGAGACCAAGGTCAATAAGTTTAGTGTCTAAGTTTTCTTCTATGTGTTTTGTTGTTTTAGGTCTTACATTTAAGACTTTAATCTGCTTTGAGTTCATTTTTGTGTATAGTGTCAGCAGTCTAGTGTCATTCTTTTGCATGTGGCTTTCCAGTCTTCCCAATGCCATTTATTGGAGACTTTCCTTTCTCCATTGTGTTTTTGGCTCTTTTGTCGAAAATGAGTTGCCCAGCCCTGGCGGGTTTGGCTCAGCAGTTGGAGTGTTGGCCCCGGACCAGAGAGCCCCATGTTCGGTTCCTGCTAAGGGCACATACCTCGGTTGCAGTTTGTCCCTGGCCCCAGTTGGGGTCATGTGGGTGGCAACCACTTGATGTGTCTCTCTCACACATCGATGTTTCTCTCTCTCTCTCCCCCCCCCCCTCTATCTGAAGATAAATGCAAAAAACAAAAACAAAAACAAAAAGTTGCCCAGAATTGAACCCGGGACTCTGGTCCTCGGGTCAATGCTCTAACTCCCGAGCCAAACTGGCCAGGGCACTCTGCCCTTTTTTTTCTTCTTCCATTTTTTGTTCAAATAGAGTTGCAGGGAGAGAGAGAGAGAGAGAGAGAGAAACATCGACGTGTAAGGGACACATGGAGTGGCTGCCTCCCGCACAACCCCAACCAGGGCCTGGGACAAACTGCAACCGAGGTATGTGCCCTTAGTGGGAATTTATTTCTGGACTCTCAATTCTGTCACATTGCTGTATGTCTGTTTTTCTGCCAATACTAGGCTGTTTATCGATTGTGACTTTGTAGTATAGTTTGGAGTTAGGAAATGTGATGCCCTTGGTTATTCATGGTACCTGATGGATTGTTTCTCCATGCATTTGGGCCAATGAATTCTTGTTTAGATACTCTTGCTCTTAGCAGTTCAGTAGATTGATAAGTAGAGGTCTTTTCTCATCCAATAGGAGGTGCTGTAGCACAAGTTTTTTTTCTCTTACTTCTTCTCAGTCTACTGGGTTCCACCTCTACGGGAATTGGATGCAGTGGGTGGGCGAGGGAAAATGCGTTCTCTAGTCTTCAGCTTTTCTGCCTTATTAGTAGTGGTGGACCTTAGTCCATAGCTGCCACACGACTGTGCCATGTCCCTGCCCGTCACTGGGTTTAGCTGCTCTAGGTGCTGGCTACTAAGGCCAGAATGTGGCTTCTGCCCTTCCTATCTGCCAGCTGCCATGTGGGGGCTACAGCCTGACTCTTCCACTGTAGGGTTGTGGTGGGCACTGGCCTTCATCTTGTGGCCCTATTTCTGCCCTTCCTTGTCCCGTCTCCCCTGCTTGTTTTGATATGCCACCTTCAGATATTCCCATATACAATCTCTCAGGCTATCTGTGTGCTGAGCAGGGTCCTTTGTGGAGTTATAGTCGTCTGACTTTAAGGGAGGGATAAAGGGGTCTTTTCACTCTGCCATGATGCTGATGTCACTCCTCAGATATATTTCTAGTAAAACCATTAACCATTACAAAAATACATAAAACATGGGAATTGGGGCATGTTTTCTTTTACTTCAGGCTGCAATATGGCTTGGAACAGCCGTGTCTACCCTGCATGTGTTAAATATTAGCAAAGATTTAAGAATACTCATTTATCTCACAATTCACCACATATTTAAGTGACAGACATGTTCATCTATGTCTGAAAAAACATCATGAATATTATAATGGCAAATGACAGGAAATGAATGTCCCTGGCTAACTGATTAGCTAACAAATGTTGGTACCAAGCAGCTGTTAAAAACTGAGCATGGCCCGGCCGGTGTGGCTCAGTGGTTGAGTGTCGACCCATGCACCAAGAGGTTGCTGGTTCAAGTCCCGGTCAGGGCACATGCCCAGGTTGTGGGCCTAATCCCTAGTGGGGGGCATGCAGGAGATGGCCAATTGATGTTCTCTCTCATCGATGTTTCTATCTCTCTCTCCTTCTCTAAAATCAATAAAGAAAAAAAATTAAACAAAAAAAATTGAGGATGCTGCACTGTCCCATGCACTGAAGGGTCTCATGTTCGATTCCTAGTCAGGACACATACCCAGGTTGTGGGTTGGATTCCTGGTTGAGGTATGTACAGGAGGCAACCAATCGATGTTTTGCACAATGATGTCTCTCTCCCTCCCTCCCTCTTTCTAAAAATCAATGAAAAACATGTCCTCCAGTGAGGATTTAAAAAAAACCAGGATGCCTAGCTGGTATGGCTCAGTGGTTGAATGTCAACCCATGCACCAAGAGGTTGCTGGTTTGATTCCAGGTCAGGGCACATGCCCAGGTTGTGGGCCTAATCCCCAGTGGGGGGCATGAAGGAGGCACCCAGTTGATGTTCTCTCTTTTTTTAATTCTCACCCGAGGATATTTTTGCATTTATCATCAGATAGAGTGGGAGGGAATGAGGGAGGGAGAGGAGAGAGAGAAACATCTATGTGATAGAGCTACATTGACTGGTTGCCTCCCACACAACCTGACCAGGGCTGGGGATGAACTGCAACCGAGGTATGTGCCCTTGACTGAAATCAAACCCACGACTCTTTGGTCCATGGGCGGACCCTCTAACTGCTGAGCCAAACTGACCAGGGCTCTCATCGATGTTTCAATCTCTCTCTCAAATCAATAAAGAAAAAAAAAAATGAGGATGCTGTGTTAAGTGGCCTGGGCTCCAGGAAATAAACCTTAGGTGTACAGAGTATATGCAGAAAGGTATGTAGCAAATGCCACTACAGGTGTTTAAAATATAAGGCTGTTACGGCCTTACTGGTGTGGCTCAGTGGATTAAGCGTAGTCCTATGGACTGAGAGGTCTCTTTGATTTCCACGTCAGGGCACATGCCTGGGTTGTGGGTTCAATCCCTGGGGTGGGGATTGGGAGGGTTGGGAGCCTGCAGGAGGGAGCCAATCCATGTTTCTCTCTCATATTGATGTTTCTATCTTTCTCTCAAAAAAATAAATTAAAAAATATTTTTAAAAAAAAGTAAAGTAAAATATAAGGCTGTTACGGACAGAATATGTGCCCCTGAACCTCAGTGTGGCTGTCTGGAGATGGATCCTCTAAGGATGTAATGAGGTTAAATGAGATCAGGAGGGTGGGTCCCTGGTCCCCTGGGTTTAGTATTGTTCTAAGAGACACCAGAGAGCCTACTTGCTCTCTCTTCCTCTGCTCAGGCATCAAGGTGAGGCTCTATGAGGACACAATGGCAAGACAGCTATCTGCCAGCCAGGAATTGGGTTCTTACAGAAACCAATCCTGTCAGAACCTTGATCTCAGACTTCCAGTCTCCACTACTGTGAGAAAATTTAAACTACTCTAGATATCTAAATTCTGTTGTTTAAGCCACCCAGTCTGTGGTGTTTTGTTGACAGCACAGATATTTCACAAATATGCTATATATCTGCATAGAATGTTTCTCGAATTTTTAAGAACTTGACAAGAGTTGGAGAGAACTGGGCAGGGGCACCAGGGAAGGAATGGATTATGCCATAATCCTTGTGTACCTGCTCGTTTTTGTATCCTTTATGTGATGTTTTAACACATCTGTAAGTTCTGATATTCCTCCTTTGAAAACAAGAGAGCCTAATTCTCCTCCCCTTGATTGTGGGCTGGACTCAGGGATGTGGTCCTAACGAATGGAATGCACAGTGAGAATAGAATAGAGGAAATGGAGTGAGACTTCTGAGGATAACTCATAAAAGACACGTGGCTTCTGCCTGTTCACTCTGGAACCACTTCCTGGGGAGAGTGGCAGGGGAGCTATCAGCCACATTGTGAGGATGCTCAAGCAGTGCTGTGGACAAGACACATGAAGAGGAGCTAAGGCTTGGTGACAAAAGCCACACTAGGGAGCCATCCTAGAAGTGGCTCCTCCAGCCTGTCTCGCCTTCAAATGAAGCAGCCCCTTGACTGCAGCCTCATGAGAGATTCCGAGCCAGGACAAACCAGCTAAATTACTCCCAAATTCTTGGCCCACAGAAACAGAAAATAATGTTTGTCATGGGGCAATTTCTTAAGGTAGCAGTAGATAAACACTTTGCAGGAATTAGTCATTAAATACCTTAAATAACCAATTTCTGCCAGCCACTGGGAAACTCCAGTATTTGCAAAATTTTGAAGCTGAGGGGACCCCTGGGTCACCAGAGCCACCAGATTACCAAGTCTCCAGCATCACCACATCCAGTCAGGGCAGGTTGCAGAGTAAGGTTTAATGCATTCATACATCAAAGTTACGTTCAGAAACATGGAAAGTCCAAAGTCACACTGTGGATCTCTTCAAGATCCATGCAGAGGGCTGGGGGTGTTCCAGACGCAGCAGGTACTGAGATGGAAGCTGTCGCCACCAATCACCTGGAGGGGGAGTAAGGAAGGGTGAGTAGAAGGCTCCTGGCTCCAGTTCTTTTTTTTTTTTTTTAATCCTTACCCGAGGGTATTTTACATTTATCTTCAGACAGAGTGGGAGGGAGAGACAGAGAAACATCGATGTGAGAGAAACATATCGATTGGTTGCCACCTGCATGACCCCAACCAGGGCCGGGGAAGAACTGCAACTGAGGTATGTGCCCTTGGCTGGAATCGAACTCTGTACTCTGGTCCTCAGGCCAACACTCTAACTGCTGAGCCAAACTGGCCAGGGCCTGGCTCCAGTTCTTACAGAAAAAGAGGCATTGAGCCACGAGGAGGAACACAGATGCTACAGTCAGGTTCCAAAACCAGATATAGCTGTGCCATCTAGGAGCTGCATGGCTAGGGCCTCAGGTACTCATCTGTGGTGTGGGGTAAAGCCATGCACACTCAGGACTGTCATGTGGGGCAGCAAGCTAACAACATGGGCAGCACAGTGATGGTCATGCTGGGGACTAATGGACAAATCTGAGGAGTCATTACTGCTCACAGCAGTCTATCCAGGGATGCCAGTGGCTGTGGGCTAACCTCCACTGTCCCCATCTGTAAAATGGCATCCCTTTGTCCTGCTCAGGGCTAGGCAGATTGAAATGGCAAGCAGGGTGCGTGATCAGTCTCCAAGATGGAGCACTGAGGAGCAGTGCCCATTCCTGTTCTACAAACTGGGGCTGCCAGCTGGCAGCTCTGTGCCAATGAGCAGGAGGTACCTGGAGAGCCTAACAAGAGCTCTGCCTACTGACAGGATTCTCTAGGGTGAACAGTCCAGGTGAGCCTCCCAGCCTCGGTGCCCCAGACCTGGAAGCGTGAGAACCCACTTTGTGGAAGCACACTCCGCCTTGCGGGAATCATGGGGTTTACCTGCCAGAAGCCGCTAAACTTACCAGAGGGCTCTGAGGAGGGTCAGTTTAATTAGTTGTCCTTCTTAAACTTGCCATTGATGTAGGGCACCCAGTCCAGAACCAGCCGCCAGTCAGTGGCCCACACTAGCCCGACGGTGCCCACAGTGCCCCACATGCCCACCGTGGGAATCCTGTGAGAGGACAATGGAGGTCAGGCCCTGTTGGGGTCTCGTCCTCCTGGTAGCACATGTGGGTCTCTCCCCCATCCCCAGCTACAGTAATATAAAGTATCCACCATGCACTGGCCCCTGCCCAGCGTGTGAACACATCCTGCTGATGATCCTGCAGGGTGGGCACAGGCAGAACACCCTGAATGGACTCCACTGCTATCTGCTTTCATATTGGGATCTGCCTAAGATTTTGAGGAATTTGCTACTAAACAAACAAACAAACAAACAAACACAAGCTTGTAACCCCAAAACAAACAAACCCAAGCCTGCAGGCACCATATTTACTGTTTACAGTTCTGCAATGGCCTAGAAGGAGGCAGGGTCTATGCTTTACAGATGAGAACAGGCACAGAGAGGGTGAGTCACTCCCTTGAGGACACACAATCTTATACTATAGATCTCGTTTACTTTCTCTTGTCCACTGACTAGAACACCAGCCACAAAGGTTTCCTTTATTGCTGTCTCTGGCACCCAACAGTGCTATGTGCTAGCACATAGTTGGGTGCTCAATAAGTGATTGCTAACTGAAAGTCTGGATGAGGTTGTCACTGCTCTGACCAAGCCCATGAGAATGGACCAGGTGAGCTGAGCTGGGGAAGTCGGACGGAGCCAACAGGTGGAGGGATTGCATGGGCGCTGATTGTTGTCACAGAATGCCCAGGGACAGCCTTCACCGTCCTGGGCTCAGGTCATCCCAGATGTCATCACCATCAGTGTCCACTTGAAGGTCCCTGCCAGAGGCACTGTCCAGAGGCAGCTCCCACTTCTCTCTCCCTGCCTGAGCTCAGGGACACGACTGCCAAATAAGTGTAGGCTCCTCTTAGCGTCTCACACTGTCACCCAATCCCAACCACCTCCCACAAGGGGGCAGGGGCGGGGGCGGCCGGGAGTCTCATACTCCCTGTTCAAGATCATTAAAAAAGTAAAAAGCAAAGCCGAGAATGTACAGGATCAGTTTTTAGGCCCGAAGAGCTGAACCGAGGGTGCTGGGTGGGGACAGGGTGAGCGCCTCCTGGGTGGGCACCGTGGCGACCTCCAGGTAGAGTTGGGGAAACAGGCTCAGAAGCGGTTCGGCTACGAGGCCGGGAACTCCGTCTGTGCCTCAGTTTCCTTATCTCTGTGGGCTAGCACGATTGGGGGTCTGGGGGTGACGGTGCGCGCAATGATGGGAGGCCGCACGGCGGTGGCTCGGGTCGGGGAGGGCGGCGCGGACCGGGGTGCGGAGGGTGGAGGCCACGACCTCACCAGTTCTTGGCCAGTTCGAGGTAGCGCGGGCCCAGGAACTTGCTCAGCATCGCGTCGCGGTCGGCAGCTCAGGGTGACCCGAGTTCTGCCCGGCCGGGACTTTTACGTAGGCGCGCAGAGACGCCCCGCCCCGGGTCAACAATTCACGCGATATCCGGAACCCTCGGCTACTGCGCGCGCAGACCCGGAATACAGTAACAGTAATTTCCGGGGCGGGGAGGGTGACGTTTAGACGCAGGTGAGAGTGGGCGGGCTTGCGGGCATGTGACCCAGGACCACCAGTTCAGTCTCAGTGCGGGCTGTTCCAGTGACTCTTAGCCCCGCGGCCTCCGGCAACGAATGGCGGCCTGTGGCATTTGGCCGGCGGCTTCGTGTTTTCACTACGTGCCAGACTTGATCTACAATTAACGAAACTGAGGCCAAGCGAGGAGGGGTTTTTCCCAGAGTCGCCAGGAGGGGCAGGGTGCGATATGAATCCACTTCTAGCGGAGTCGGGCTGTTACTGACCCGCTGTCCATAGGGCCTTGGCCAAAAGCCAGAGCTTACCCGAACCTGTTTGCTCCTCGCGATTGTCTGTTGGAAATTTTCTGCACGTTTCCGTTTGCAACTTTGGTACTTCCTTCACCTGGCGGCGGAGGGCAGCGAGATCCAGGTGCAGAGAACACCCGAGTCCCCGATAGATGCGCCGCCCGGCCAGGCCCTCCCCTTCTCGTCTGACCGCCGCCCAGGCTCGCTCGGGCCCAGCGTCGGAGGCAGGGGGCCTGGAGGTAAGCCCAGGACGCCGTGGGTGTGCTCCTAAACCCTGCCGTGGCCTCCTGGGATCTGCTCCCAGCGCCCTCAACCCTCCGCCCTCAGGGCCTGCAGGTTCCGACCTGATCCTGGCCCTGGCCTGGGAGCCGGCAATAATATGTAGTATATAGTACTATGGTCTGGTTTCTCATTCTTTTCAGTTGCTCCAGTTTTTGAGTTTAGTAGAGTGTAAGAGAGAACCTAAAAATGTCTCTGCCCTTGATGAAAACTTAAAAAGTGGGAAATAGAGGCCATTATAATTATTGTTGAGAGCGAGGAGGAGAAAGACAGATTACAGCTGCCTGAAAAGACACAAAGGCGCGGAGGACTGGGGCTACAGGTCCTGGATCCAGCAGTTCCTGAAGCCTCACCTCTAAGATTGCTCCTTTTCCATGACATATTACAATTCACAAGGCAGAATGCTTTTCCTTTTAAGTGATAACAACAACCAGTTTATGAGAAAAGTTTGATGGCATGTTGTAGAGCTTCAGGCATGGCTGGATTCAGGAGTCTAGCAATAACGTTATGAATCTCTTCTCAGCTCTTTCTTGTGTCACCCTCATTCTCTGGCAAATTCTTTCTGGGCAGCATGGCCTGCAAAGTCCGGGTTCATATTCCAGCAGCCCTTGCAAGAAGTTATCTCTTTCCCAATAACTGCAGAAAGTGTCCCAAAGTTGGTTCTTGTTAGCATGCTGTGGAAACAGGGCAGAGTCAGCTCTTCCCATATTGAGGACATGGCTGAAACAGGAAGAAGAGGATACCCAAAAGAGAATAACCAGGATTCTGTAACCAGAGGAGATAGTGGGTAGCAGGAACTGCCGACCTTCCTCCCACCCTGTTGATCCTTTGCTCAGGCCTCCTGGATTCCCTGTGGGTTCCTATTTGCCCCTTGGGGGAAGCCGAACTCCTTTCTTGTTTTTACTGATGAGAAATTCATGTAACATAATTAACCATTAAAATGTACAGTGCATTGGCATTTCGTGCATTCACAAGGTTGTGCAACTACCACCTCTCTTTAGTTCCAGAACATTTTCATCTCTCCTAAAAGAAGCCCTATTCCCATCAGCAGTCACTCCCCATCCCTTCCCAGCCCCTGACAATTATGAATCCACTTCCTGTCTCTGTGGGTTTGCCTGTTCTGGACATTTCACATAAATGGAATAACACTGTGTAGCTTAGTTTATCTGGCTTCTCACTGAGCATCACGTTTTCAAGTTTCATCCACGTTGTAGCATCAGTGCGTCACTCCTTTTATTTTCTTTATAGTTAACAGTCAATATTTTATATTAGTTTCAGGTGTACAGCATCGTCAAGACAATTTATGAAGTGATTCCCTCTCCCACAAAAGTCTAGTACCCACCTGGCACCATAAGTAGTTATTACAAGCACTTCACTTCTTTTCATGGCTAAGTAATATTCTAGTGTCTGGATGGACACATTGTGTTTGTCCATTCATCTGTGGATGCATTCTTTTTAAATATCTACTTTATTGACATATTTGACATACAAAAACACACATATTTAAAACATACAAGTTAGTATTTGGACATGTGCATATCTATGAAATCATCACCACCACTGCGACAATGAACACCTTCCCTGCTCCCCTTCCAGCCTCAGCCACTACTTATCTGCTCTCTGCTGCTATTAATTAGTCTGCATTTTCTAGACTTTCCTATTAAGGGAGTAATACAGTATGTTCTCTTTGGTGTCTGGCATAAGTATTCTGAGAGTCATCCAACTGTTGCATCTGTCAGCGGTTTCAGTTTGTTCCTTCTATTGCTGTGTCATATTCTGTGGTGTTCGTGGACCTACGTGTTCACTCACCTGGTGAAGGACATGTTGGTTTCCAGGTCTTTTCGGTTACAAATGAAGCTGCGACGCATGATTGTGTCCAGGTAGAACATGTGTCTCGGTTTCTTTTGGGTGGGTGTCTGGGAGTGGAGGGTCTGGCTCATAGGGAAGTATATATCTAACTGTCGAAGAAATTGCCAAACTCCTTAAAAAATTGTTGAATAGATGTATATAACATTATACTAGTTTCAGGTGTGCCATCACTGTTTTCTGAAGTAGCTGCAGCCATCCACCAGTCACCAGAGTCCTGTAGTGTTTGCATGTTTTACCATTTTATTTTATTTTATCCTCACCCATGGACTTTTTTTTTCCATTTATCTTCAGATAGAGTGGGAGGTAGAGAAGGGGGAAGAGAAAGAGAAACATCGATGCAATAGACACATAGAGTGGTTGCCACCCACACGACCCCACCTGGGCTGGGGACAAACTGCAACCGAGGCATGTGCCCTTAGTGGGAATGAACCTGGGACTCTCTGGTCTGAGGGCCGACGCTCTAACCACTGAGTGAAACTGGTCAGGGCTGTTTTACCATTTTGAAAAGGACCCTCACTATATTCGTTTCCCGTGGCTGCCATAACAACTGACCACTCACCAGCTGACTTGAAACAACAGGAATTTAACCTCCCCCAGTTCTGGGGCCAGAAGTCCAAGATCAAAGTGTCACAGGGCTGTGCTCCCTCAGGAGGCTCCAGGGGAGGGTCCTTCCTGCCTGTCCCCGCTTCTGGGGGTTCCAGTGTCCCTGAGCTTGTGGCCACATTACTGTAGTCTCTGCCTCGTTTGTTCCATGGCTTCTCTCTCCTGTTCTGTCTCTTATAGGGACATTGTAATTGATTTGAGGCCCACCATGATAATGTAAAGTGACTTCATCTCAGATGCTTCCTTTGATTACATCTGCAAAGCCTGTTTTCAAATGCAGGAAGTCACATTATTGTACTTAACAGATGTCATGGTTTTTGTTTGACCAGGGAACTCCTCAAATGATTAAATCATCTTCATTCTTTTTTTTAAATTTAATTTTGTTGACATTTATTTTGTTGAATTTACTCCTGGCCCCGTAAGTTTTTGTTTCTTCATTTCCTCTTGTAAGTCATCATTCTTCAGGAATTATTCATTCACAGAGCAGACCACTATTTCATATCTTAAATCCCAGGGCTCTCATGCATTCTTTGTGGGCCTTACTTAGGTGTCCACAGTGCTCTTTTCTCATGTTGCACACATCACATGCCTGCTTGGTCTCTGGGCATGAGAGCAGGGCTTCAGAGGCTTCTCCTGTGTCTCAGAAGGCACATGGGCCATCAGACCTGGCATTTTTTAGGTCCCAGTTGTCACATTTTTTACAAATTGAAGGCAAGGTCTCCCACAAGCAAAATGGTTACTGTTTATTTTGGTGGACTGGAACTGAACCCACCATATTTCTGAGGTCTGCCTGTAAGGCTTTGTTCATAGGTTCCAGGTGCCACCGTTGCCTGGGTCTTCCTGTCTTAGTCTGGCATGTCCCTTCCCTGGCCCTGTGTGTTTGCCTCCTGAGAGCCAGAAGGACTCCCCTGGGGCCTGGGCAAAGGCGTGCAACAGGCACCCGGTGAACCACACACTGACATAACCACTGTCAAGATGTGGATATACCCATCATTCCATTCTGTGCCCCATCCTCTGCCCATAGGATTTCTCTGAGCTGAGCCAAGCAGATTTTCCTTCCAGAAATTTCCATGGAGCCAGTTCTTGTTGGGAGAGGGGATACGTCACTCAGTGAGGATTTAGGCACCTTTAGATGTACTTTTAAACAGTTTTGTTGAGATATAAGTCACATACTATGGCGTTCACCCATTTAATGTGCACAATTTCATGGGTTTGGGTATACTGCATTATTAATTTTAAAAATTTAATACACAGCATCTCTGGAAGCAACTTTTCCACGAGCCAATCCCAGTCCCAAATTACCAGGAGCCCCTATTACAAGTGCAGGCTCTGGCCTCATGTGGAGCTTTGGTTCTAGGAGAAATCACAGTGGGCGTCTTTTCCTGGTCAGTGGCTTTGCTGGCCTCGCTCACCCAACCCTTCAGATCCCTGTTATGGCTGAATTGTGTGCCTCTTCCAAAATACATGTGAAGTCCTGACCCCAAGTACCAGTGAACAGGATCTTAAGTAGAAAGATGGTCCTTGCAAACGTCGTTAAGATGAGGTTGTATGCGCTGGCTGGTTTTACTCAGTGGTTAGAGCATCACCCCCGCGGACCAGAGAATCCCGGGTTCTGTTCCCACTAAGGGTATATAGCTCGGTTGCAGTTTGTCCTCAGCCCCGGTTGGGGTCGTGAGGGTGGCAACCACTCAATGTCTCTCTCACATAGATGTTTCTTTCTCTTCCTCCATCTCTCACTCCTGTCTATCTTAACATAACTCTCCCTCCAGCTCTATCTGAACATAAATGCAAAAATGTTCTCGGGTGAAGATAAAAAAAAACATGAGGTTGTACCAGAGCAGGGTGGCCCTGATGCAGTGACAGGTGTCTTTGTAAGAGGGAC